ATGAAGGAACGAAAAAATGCTGCGTTAATAAAAAGTCGTGACGATTAGATAAAAAAAAAAAAAGAAGCATTCCACAATACGAAGATATATGAAATAATAAATAGATATCGTAAATGCACAAGTATCAGATTCCTAGAGAAACAAAAACAATTGGTGCAGTATAACAAATCTTATTTTTAATCTTTCATCGCTTTTGTTTTTACAAGATTTTTTAAACTATATCATAGTCTGTTTATATAATTGTATATTATTTCATGTTTAATACTTATATTTCTTGTCTCAATCTTGTATCATACAATTTGGAATTTTAGAGAAGAAATGAGATATGTTTTTTCACAACATTCATAGTATTCAAATTAATTTTAGGCCAATAGATCAGAAATATTACTATTAAAATTTGACCTAACAAATCAAGCAAAAAATGGAAGTTCTCCAAAGTATTTTTCATTCTACTTTTATGTTAAGAAGTAAAAATTGATGGAGGGAAAAACAATGGAGTACTAAAGATGAGTTGATTTGAATGATGTAATCATAGATTTAAAGAGGAACACATGATGGTTGTCTTCATCACCATTGACAAGTTTCTCTTGAGAAGAAATAAGATAAAAGATATATGACCATATTTTGTGCCTCTATTATATATACTTTGTAATGCAATTATTTTCTTACAAGAAAATTGTAATATTTTCAATATTTTTATGATGAATAAATAACAGAAATTTAAAATATTTTTGAAATGTCTCACAGATGTAAATACATAGTTTATTAATGTAATATTTCTCACACTAACAAAAAGACTATGAAAAGTACAAAAGGAAATATATGAATATTGAGATCGATAAGATATGTATACAAATAATATCAACAAAATAATCTGGCATTAAGAAAATTGTCTAAAATTAATAATAGTGTAATATTATATAACATAATGGTAGAATATTATAATATAATAAGTGTTGTGATTATGAATAAACGTATACATGTGTATAAAGGGCATTTAATAGGCACGTATATCACAAAATTGAATGTAGTGAGATTTGGTGGAAGAATAAATACAAACATGCACATTTGATAATAAAAGTACAATATACATTGCATTCATATATCTTTAAAAAAATTAGTAATTAGTAATAAAATTAATTAGTAATAAAATTAGAAATTAGTAATAAAATTTAAAAATAACAAAATATTTATTCATATTTAACTAAAAATGTAAAATTTACATTTTTACAGATATTTGTACAGATATTTTGCCGACATAAAATTGAACATAGCGAAATTTTTAAATTACGCGGATCTATATACATTGAATAGTGATGTTATTAAAGGGGAAAATTCCGCGAAATGTTTTCGAATATGCAATTGCTGAGAAATAAAAAATGTATTGTTAATTATTGTCTAACATTTAAACATTAACAATTAAACATTAGTAGCAAGGTGGGTGATGAAAAGAAATCAATATCGTAATGCGAAAATATATCATAAAGTTATAATGAAGTGAAGATGTTTCCATGAAATGAGAAAAGTATATACAAAGTACAAAAATATAATATAAACTAATATCAATACGAAGATGTAATTCGTTACTTGGCCAGCAAAAAAAAATGAAACGTCAATGAACAATTTGTATGTAGAAAAATAGATTTATGAGCAAATTTTAGAAATTTAATATTAGAAATTTCATTATGTATTAGTAAAAATATATTAATAAAACGTTCGTAAGACGTTAAAGGAGACTGTGGTATTATATATCACAGTAGGATATTCGCTACAATTTATATAATTTGTAATGAAAATTTTTGAAAAAGTATTGAATCCATTGAAATAAACTTATTTGGATATGATGGGAAAAAACAAATTATCTGAATAGAGCCTAACAGAGAATATCATATCTGTAATATATGTACAATGAAATATGAAATGATGAAAGCATGGAAAAAATTCCATATGGGTTGTACAAAAATAAATGGTACGAAATATATTAACAGTATAACAAATAACACATATTATTTTAAAAAGAATTGTAAAAGAATTGGTAGAACAATTGAAAATTGTCCATATCCTGTTCATATCATCACTGTACATATATAATGTTGTTCATGTTGTACATATACAATGATCCTAAGCACATATCATACATAGTGTAAAAATAGCTATTATATAATGTTTCTAATTGAAAATAAATTGTTAAGAATTAAAATATGTTTCTAAATTATAATTGTTCCTTCCCTAGGTAAGAGGTCCCCTGATCTTATTGTTAATTCGATTGAACATGTTTGGAAAAAATTAAAATCAAGAATTTTGAAATATAATTTAACAAATACAGAAAACTTTGAAACAAAATTACAAGGAGAATGGAACAATGTTTCGCTATTTTTTATTCAAATTATGTCATCAAAATAGCATCATTTTCAATAAAATATAAATAAATATTTAATATTATTTTTAAATTTTGTTACTAATTACCCTTTAAAACATATGAATACAAAATATATTACGACAAATACATATGTATATTTTCCATTAAGGGGGAAATTTTTACTGTCAATATAAGTGTACAATTTTGTGATTAACTGTACATAACATAAATACACGCCTCACATACGTGCAATTAAACACGTATTTATATACTTAAATTATTGTATATACAGTTTTAACTGAACATGATACAACATATGTACACACATACATATGTATATCAATAGAACAGGCAAGTGCACATGCGAGGATATTGGATATCAATATATCGTATATTTGCTATGAATTATAAAACAAAGTTCAAGATCAGGAATTAATACCTGAATAATATAGTTTGAAGTTTTACCATTAGTATTCACAAGAATGAAAAAGAATAGAATATGACCAAACACGATATAACAAAGAGGCATTAAAACCTCTGAATAATTCAGCCACAGGCAGTTCCGAAAGATAGCGATCGTTTTCTTTTTTTTTTTGGTATTTGTAAATTTAAAATTATTAGTAATAGTAATAGTGGCGGCAATAGTCAATAATAACTACAATATTATTAGTTCTTAAGCTTATTTATAAGAAATTATTTCAAATTGAGTTAATCCCTATTTAATAAATATAATATTTAAGTAAATCTTATATATTTGTGATATTTAATTGTCAATCGCGTGCTACATAAATTCTTTTTTTGTTTTTTGTTTTTTTTTTTATTACAGCAACATAGCAAGATTGAAATAATGATACATTTAAAAAACTTATTTTCTCAATTTCTTAATAAATTTGTACGTGATATTTTTATTGCCACTGGTAGGTGATTCACACATATTTCATTACCAGCATTATCATTAACATTTTAATCATTATTTATTTCAAGATTCTTATAATAAGATCATAGAAATTAAATTTCACTTTCATTTATAATCATGTTGCATTAAAAATGCTTTTTTAAATATCTTTTAATTTCATTAGAAATTTAAATGTAATAAAAAAATTACAGAACACTTTGTGTATACAGTGTGTTATTTCTGTACACACATGTAATATTTTGTTTGATTGTGCATATCTGCATGTATATGTGTATGTATATATACTATATACAGTGTACAATAATAAATAAAAGATAAGAATTTACAGTGCATCATATAGTAAAATACAAATTTAATTTCAAGTATAAATAATATAAATATAAACATACTATTTTGAACTATTATATTTTATCTGATATAATCATAATGCAAAAGTAAATACGCAATTATTGCAAGTTTTATCATTCACAGCATTATGTAAAGCAGTATAAATCTTACATTATTTTTCACAGTTGATGTTTGCATGTTTGTTCTTTATTCCATTCAATATATAACTTCCATCAATTTTTCGTATATTCATTATTTTAAAACTATTTGACTTGAAAATTTGTAAATTGTTTTTTTAAATATTTGCAATTTTATCACTTAAATTTTAACATTTAAAAATTTTTGAAGTAAAATATTTTATAAACTACACATTGAAGAACTTTTCAGTGAATTATATGTAGACAGATTTATCTGATTGTCCGAGTGATTTTGAAATATATTGCAATGACGTGGAAATTATTAGTTTATCAAGGAAGATAGTTATAAATTCGGATATTAGACCTCCAAAAACGGCAAATTTCCAAAACCTATTGCGTATCATTACATGTAGGTGACTACTATACAGTTCATCACACCAAAAAAGAATTACTAAAATATATTATACGTATAAAATATAATATATATATAAGAGATATACAAAGTTTCATTTAAATTCATTCTATTTAAATAAAGTATATTGAAATTTATTTAGATTGTTTCACTTTCATACTCAATTACGAAATAATAGCCGCTGACACGAGAGAGCTTCTGCGTAAAATTGCCGGTCAACAATGTGTCAAAATAATATTTACTAAGTTATTGTACTACAGAAGTTTCATGTCTATCAATTTTATAAATACATATTGGTTAATATAAGTATGTTTTAATTTCAAGATTGAAATTGATAGTATAAGAAATATTTTTTATGTGCTATATATGAAAATATTAAACCATATCAGTTTCTGTCATTAGTTTCATTTAAAAAATTATGAATTGAAAACATCACAGAACTTATTTTGTGTTAATAATAATATAGTGTTTTCTTAAACATATTTGTATATATACATACATACACATCTTACTTTTTTGCACAGGAAATCAAAATTAGAGTAAATAATACAAATTGTAATGTAATATACATTATGTAAATTATATAATTGACAATATCTATTCCATATTTAAATTTAGAATGTAATTTTCAAATATATTAATACTGTTGCAAGTAAATTTAGCTGAAATTCTAAATTGTAATAGATATCAAATATAAAAAACAATAAACAATGATATAATACATATCTCCAAACTTATAATTTACATTAATATATGATTGAAGTCTTTAATTTTTATATAATATACAAAGGAACAAATATAACTTAAATTAATAAATTAAAATTTTTTTAATTTAATAAATGCATTATTGATGCTATGCTCATGTCTAACAATATTTTGTAATAGGAATTGCATTAAAATATATCTTTTAGACATGACTATAACATATTTGTATTTTTAAAGGATAAAAAGTTTTTCTTATAATTTCTATATAATCATTTGTCTTTTGACATAGAACCAGTTTGGCACAAATAACATTATTTTATCATGTACAGCAGTGTAGAAAATAATTTTCTTATAACACTGCTGTGTCACACTAAGTGCCCTTTTTATTAGAATATTTATGTTATATTTGTATTACATAAAATTTTTAATCATAATATAAGGATTCGATCCTTGTCCTACTTTTTAAATGATCTATATATTCAAAACCTACATTTTACAATATCTGAATAATTATTAACTGGCATAACAGATTATTTTATTGATTGTATATTTTATACTTTTAAATATTTAAATTAGTTATGACTAATTATTTAAATCATTGATAGCCTGTAAGATTCGTTTAACATGTCCTACTTTAGTAATACCAAGTTCTTTGAGATCTCTACGAGCTAATGATAATAATTCTCTACCTCGTATATCATGGGAAACAAATTTATCAGTATATTCACCTAATTGTAAATTCTCCAGCCAGGAACACACTTCTTGTACACCCCATGTAGTAACTTGATCTCGTATGGGATTTGTTCCAGAATTAACTCCTGATCGTCGAAACTTTAACCAGAATAAACCTCTATGACGATTCTTTTTATCTCCCTATACAAATGTAATTTTATGAAACTTCTATTTCATTTCTATTTATTACATAAATTATGTTTATACGTATAAGATGAAACAAATCACTTAAAGTGTTTTCATTAATCAACAATTCAAAGATTTTATTGTTGAATTGTTGAATCAATTTTTTGTCACAAAGAATAGTCGTAAAGCTAAACAAAAAACTTGAAAATAATTTTGAAAATTTATTTAAAAGAAGAACAGAAATGTTCTGATTGCAACATTTTGAATATTATTAGAAAATCTATCTTTATCATTTATAACAATAATTTTTTGGTCAAATCTAATTAAAAAGTAACTATATCAAATAATTCATATTGTATAACAATTTCAGAATCCTTAGAATAGAATAGAAAAGAATAAATATTTATCACAAATTAAAAATTATAAGTGAAAAATTATACCTGTTCATCTGATGGTAAGTTTTGCAAATATACTAATCCTGTACCTCCTTCATCAAATGTAAATTTTTTTAATTCTTGTTCCATACTGGCCAAAGAAAATGATAGTTTATTTTCTAAATCTTCCCGTAATTTCTGGATTACATATAAATTTTATTATTAAAAAAATTCTTATTAAAATATCAGAAAAGATTAACCCTTCCACTATTAACTCTTTAATAGCCAATTGTTATACGCTGCATGGTAAACAAATAAATGTTTCGACATACTCCATTAAACATGTTTTAAGGAATATTGGAATGTGTACAAAATTAAATTTAATATCTCTGTTTCAAAAATAACAAATTAAGAAAGTATAAAAAATACTTTAGTGATATATGGTTAATCTAACAATGATTGAATTAAACCAGTATTTAGTGAAAAGGGTTGATTGTATTATAAATAGCATGTAACAATGCTATCTTTGAATGAAATCTTTTATGCTATAAAAATGTAACCTAGTATGGTAGGTAAAGACAAAATTGTAGGCATATAATATCAATAGTATCTAAAAAGAAATGGAAAACAAGTATGATGTATGTAATAATAAGTATAATAAGTATGTAAAAACAAGTATAATGCAAGTAATTGTTTTTATACTGATATTCAAAAAATATGAGCAACAATTCTGTCTTATACAGAAGACAGGCCATCGGATAGCAGATACCCTGGTCCATTTAGCTCCATTCTTTATAGTGGTAGAAGGGTTAATAATGTATAAAATATATATCACTTACTAGATTATGTGCTTTATCTCTGAGTAATTCACACGAATCTTCGTAAAGTTGTCGTGCACTTGACACCAACTCTGTTACTACTGGTCTTAAATTAATCTGTTAAATAGAAATGACTTATTAGAAACGAATATAGATCAAAAATATCTAACAATAAATCAATAATATCGACATAATACAATTAAGTAAATAATTAACAAATAATAACTCTTTAAATAACTTGTTTAAAGAATATATTTAATAAATTAATTATAGGAAAAATATAAAAATGCTCACATTATTCATGTTCAAGAAAAATTATATATGAAATATATGTGAATTATAATAATATGAAATTATATATTACTAACTCCTTGTAAAATTTTCCCATCTGGGTGAACTTGTTCAAGAGCTTGCGCTGTTCGTGCTGCAACTTGGTACAAATCTGGTTCCAAACTAGGATGTGATATAATGAGAAGTTTGACCCATTTGACTAAAGTTGTAACCACTTCGATAAATCCCAGCAGAATATACATTTCATCATCATTTAAAAATGATGGTTTATTATGTGTTTGTAAAGATTTAGGTTGTGATTGCAATGGTGTATTGCTTAAAGTAGATACTGACTGAGATATTGCATTGAGTGTATTGCGTTGTTTTTCCTCCCATGTTTTTAAAGATGTTTCAAGTGCCTATATTTAAAAATAGATTATAATGTATTTTTATTTATTTTCATGCATGTATATTATTACTTTAATACTAAATTATTTACCCTATTTCTGTAAAGCATTTGCATACGATTTTTATGTATAATACGTATAATGCCAGGAGGTTGAATCCAAGCTTCACCATCAACTTGTATGGGTACTCCCTCATCACCCAAAATATTAATTTGAACTGTTTGACATTGCGCAATTCTGTGATGTTGTAAATTAATTAATCGTGATGCAGCCATTTGAACAGAACCAAACACAGCTACAACTTCTAATATACGATCATCAAATGAAGGTGCTAAAAACAAATCTCCTTCTTTTGTGCCTCCCCAAAAATTTGTACCACCCATGAAACTGAAAAATATACAGAATATTGATAACAATATTTTATATATATTTTACATACATATATATATATATAAAACAAGATATGTATATATATATATATATATATATA